CTTTCAATTGCATGTTTAACCATTTAAAATCAATAAAAAACCAGAGTAAAATTGTTTGAAGTAAGGTCATAAATTACTTACGAAATTCAATTCATATAATAGAATCATCGTCTATCAAATAGTATCACAAATTTTTAATAATACTAACAAAATTTTCATTGGATCATAAAATCTAAAATTCAGTTAAGCAAATGTTGGTGATCAATAGATTTAATATCTTTTGTCATTGCCTTATTTAATAATTATTATATACAATTAATTTATCTAACTTTGCTTTGAAACACTCAAAATCTGCCAAAATCTCCTATACCAATTTAGTAAACCACTTCCTAGCTGTGTACATCACGTCTGATTTACTCTTTTTGGATACCTATTTTGACCATATATATATATATATACATATATATAGATACATATGTATACATATATATAAATATTCAAACTCGAGCCAAATTCGTATAATTAATATTATGATATATCTGTGTCTATTCTCCCATTAAGATTGAAAAACACGAAGAGGACTAACAAGAAGATGAATTCTTTCATATAACTGAAATCCTTTATGTTTTAAAGAAGTTTTTCTACCTGAGGCTTAGAAGAACTCAAAAAGGATTGTATGAAGCTTCATCACAATAATATTTGCACTAAGGAGTAACTGGCTTTTTTATTTTTATTTTTATTTTTACAAAAATTTCATTGCTTCCTTCAAGGAAGAATTAGCAATGTAATAAATTGCTTAATTTGATAAGTATCTATCTATATAACTTAATATTAGAAAACCCAGAGAGAGGAAACTGTGATAATTTTTCACTTGCCATGTAGAACTGACAATTTTCTCAATTTTTTGATTTATTAAAAAGGGGAAAAAAACTATATCTTCAATTAAAAAAAGAGTAACAATTGGAATTTGTTATGTCTTCGAAAATTATCGAAAGAAGATTACAATCCTAACTAATGATTTGAAGTTGAATCCTTCGTCAAATCTGATGATTCTAAATTGAAATCAAATGAGATAACTACAAATCAAATGAACCTCTATGTTAGTAAATTTAATCAATACATAAACATAATTTAGTCCGCCTTCATTTCTCCGATCTTTTTTGTATAGGCAGTCTCTACTCCTTTTTTTTCTGCTCCAAACTCTTCCAAGCTGCCACTATCGTCATATGTCTGCTACTGGTGCCAAGATTTTTTGAAGTATCATCATCCTAATTGTTTGAAATAATTGTTTTCTGGATCATCAGTAATCATTTTAACCCCGGCGTGTTAAGGTTGGGAGAAAATTTCTGTTACTTCTTTTTGCTTAGTTTTTTTTTCCTATTATATTGTAGGTGTCTCCCTCTTTCACCGCGTTGATGCAAATGCAAGCCGAATTGTCCAATCTATTTTGAGGACAGGAAGGAGGTTGGTTTTCTAGAGCAATCTTCTTAAATATTGACAGCCCAAGTGTTCCAAATTGTTTTGATCATTTAAGTATGTTCAACATTAAAGTCCTTAAATTCCTCTTGCCTTTGAATGTATCTTTTCACTGGTCGTTGAGGCTACAAGTTTACTGCAAGCATACATTGGAGAACTATGCTTTTATGCATGCTGAATATGAACTGGTACTCTAAACTGAACATTTGATTTCAAGAATTAATTAGTTTCTGAACTTATAATTGTGCTCTGATATATCTTTTGCTAAGTCAATCAGTATCTCCAACAGGCTCAACAAACAAAAAGTAGTTGGTCTCACCATGTCAAAACCTGAGAATGTGAAAAATGTATGGCTTTCACTTCGAGGCTGAAACTGATCGAAGGGAATTATTCTAGAAAGTGGTGCATCTTTTTCATACAACTATGGAGCTCCTACGATCCTTATTTCTGGACCCGTTCATTATCTCGAGAAACCCTTAGATATATTTACAACTCTCTCTGTTGGATAAAGATAGTATTATTTATTTTCAAAGTGCAATTCACGGATCACATCTTAATCCATCTGTTTAAGGCATTTCTTACCAACTTCAAGGATTGTTTGTTAATGTGATCGAATCTCATTCAAAATGCTAAGATATAAGTTTGGATGTCATCAAAAGTGATGTGTGTCTGCATATAAGTAACCTTGATCCTGAAAAAGCAAAATGAGTGAGTTTTTTTTTTTCTTTTTCTCTTAAGTTTTTGTTTAAGTGTTATCTTTTTACTCTCACAATATTATTTTGAGATAAGATAATCAACTTGAGTTTGTTAAGTTATTGAGCAAAGTAGTAGTGTATTCTTCCCATGTATTTTTTTGTCTTTCCAATTACTATATAACTATCGCAATATGTATGTACAAAATAAAATGGGTAAAGTTTAGATAGAATGAATAGTCAAAATGAAATTAGACAGATAATTGGGTAAAACAACTCAACAAATTAAGTTGATGATCAAACTTCTTAAAAAAGAAATATTGAGAATCATTGAAAACAATTATATATATATATATATAAAGAGTTGAATGATATTTTCAATAAAAATTGATGGATATTCCCACCAGTGTAGCCATGGCAAAATGAATGAGTAAATGGATGACTCAGAATAAAAATAAAAATAAATGTCTAATGCCATATTGGGTTTAATCCTATGTGGTACTTTCTTATATTTATGGCTTATAAAAAAAAGTATTTTCAAAATACTTGAAGTTGCTTACTATTTTTTTTTCTAATAGTAATATATACTATTAATTAATCTTATAAGATAAGTGTTGGACATAATCTAATCTCAAATTAACGCAAATGACCTTGGAATTGTATAATCACTTAATTTTATCATCAACCTTTTCAAAAAGATGAATTTAAAATTTAAAGATTAGTAACTATTTCTTATCATCATTCTGAATAACTAATATTATCAGTATCATCTACACGCAAGGGGAAAATTCTTTAAACTATATACCTAAAAAATTAATCATTATCAATTTACAAAGAATCCGAAATTGAAACTTTTTTTTAAGGTAATTGTATTTGTTACCAGAATAAAGTTGCATTTTCAACTATTTGAACTAATTCACTGCATATATTGGAATCTACACTTTTCTAATTCCGTTGTTCATTTTCTGCAAGTATTACGTATTTTAATTTAACACGGTTTTAAATCTATATCGTTCGTTTGTTTTCCATAAACATTTATTTATAATGTGATATTATTTAAATTGTAACTTTTTTACCCCGTACAACGCACGTGTTACATCTAGTAATTGTAATACTACTTTCGCGTTGTATTATTATATCTTTCCTCTTTCGCAAATGAATTTCCTCTTTCTCCAAATAAAAATATTTTCAAGTTGGAAGGAAGGGAGTATATATATGAGTAAAAATATTAAAGGAAAAAGTAAAAGAAAAGTTATAAAAAACAGATTTCCAGAGTGTTCATATCGCCCATGTCGTATAAATAATCATACATATAATTTTTTAAAAAAAGGTAAAAAATATAAATGAACAATCAAATTTCAACATGCAACTTTCACATTTTAATCAATTAATTAATCATGCATTATGTTTAGTCATTAGTGACATGTTTAAACACAAAAAAGACAAAATCACCCCTTGAAAGTCATCACGTGTGATGGAAAGGCCCACAAACTAAAAAACTAAAAAAAAAGAGGTAATACACAAGAACCCCCTTGTGTTTTTGAAACCGCACGAGACCCCCTCGTGCTTTTCTCAAATGTGTTAATTATATGAAAAATGCTCATCTTAACGATAGATTAGTATTAACAGAGAGTAAAATAAAGTGAACACATTTGGAGAATTTATTTTTCCAGAAATATCTTTTTATATTTTATTGTACTTAATCATGAAGTGAACTCATATTCGCCGCTATTTGCTTCCTCCTCTCTTCTTCCCTCTTTACTAATCTTCCCCTTTTACCCACCTCTTATCTTCTCATCTCCCTTCTTCAGTCAATCTTTGCCCTGTTTTTTTTTTTTAATTTTATTTTATTTTTTTTTATTTCGTCCCAGTTCTTCAGCCTCCGTCATTTTACTAATCCTGGTGACTGGTGTTTCCAGTATCTTACCATGTTCGCTGCCGCTTGAGTTCTCACCACCTGGCACCGACATCCATTCTCTTCTTTCGCTGCGTCGATTTCTTTTTCACCTTTTTTTCTCCGATTGATTGCAATAACAAAAAAAATATTGGGTTTAATTTTTAGTCCTTTTTTTTTGATGTTTAGAACTTTGTGGGGATGGTTCACTGTGGAAGTTAATTTTGATGGGTTGGGTTGATTGGGGGTTGGGAAAGTTTGTGCCCCAGGACCACGAAGTAACAAGGAATTAAGGTTTCACATATTTCTATATCTTTGATTTTTTTACTTAGTTTCTTAATTAAACAATAAAAAAAATATAATTTGGTGCTAGTAAAATTGAGAAAAAATGCAGATGAGTAGTAGTGGTGTGCATGTGATAGCCTTTCAATTTGAAGAAGAATTGGGAATTGAATATAAGAATAATATTACATTCAATTAAGGAAAGGAAATAATTATTTTTTAAAATTAAAGTGATTGTAAATTATTTCTGTCGAATTAAAGTTATTGGAAACAAAAAGAAAAAGAACGATAAAATAATTACTATTATAAAAGAATAAAAGATTGAAAAGGAAATGTTTCATCTAGGCATGAGAAAATTTTTTGTTTCTTGGAACCAATGGTGCATTAGTAATTTCGATTGGATCTGTTAGATGTCTGTTTGTTTTATTCACTTCTATCTGATTAACACATTTTGGAAAAGTACAAGGAGGATATTGTGTGCTTTTTAAACCATAAGGGGTTATTGCGCGATTTAAGAAAGTATGAGGGGGTTCTTGTGTATTACCCAAAAAAAATCCGAAAGTAAAAAAAAAAAAACGAAAAGTGACGTGGAAGCATGCGACTGTACTGCCCCGATCCGGGTCGAAAAAGGATCCGGATTGCAGCCACCAGGACCCGTCTGACTGTGTCTGTAATCATTCATCATCTTCTTCTTTGTTTCCTTCCCTTACCTTTTTTCAGCCTTTTTCATCTCTCTCCTGTCTAAATAATCTTCTTACTCTTTCTACTCTTCCACCAAACCCAAAATTAAAATTAATCAAAATTGTACAAATTCCGATAATTACTCACATTTTCGCCGTTAATTTTCCCCCAATTCGATTGTGTTCTACATTATTATTATTATTATTATTATTATTATTTTTTAATCACATTTGATTAATTCTTTTTCCTCCTTCATCACAAACCCTAAACCTAGAGGGATTTAGACCTCCATTAATCGCAATCGGATCTTTGTTTTCCTTTACTGCCAACTTGGGGTTTACTAAAATTAACTTGATTGTTGTTCGGAATCGCGGGAGCGCGATCGAATTTCGGCGGGAATTCAGCTCAATTTCGCACCTTAATTTGGTCGGTGAATATATATTGTTGGTTTGATATTGTTGTCGGGTAAGTTGTTAACGACATTGAGATTGAGAAGCTCCGGGGTTGTTTTGGTGCGTGGATCATTGGCGGAATTTCTTTGCAGATTGCTGGGATTTGTTGGAATTTAAAGACAGGGGTTTTGGATTCGATTCGGGGGAAAACAGCGCCATTCGATGGCGCTGTTTAGACGGTTCTTCTATCGGAAGCCACCTGATCGGCTTCTTGAGATCTCTGAAAGGGTCTATGGTACGCTGACATTTTGCTTCATTTTTCCACCTCTGTTTTTGGTTTCACATTTCCGAATCATTGTGATTTTGGTAGCTCAATCAACTAGGAAATGGGTTTGGGACACTATTTTTCAGCTTAATAGTTCGAATTTTCTGTTTTAACATCATTCTTGGTAACCTCAAAGATCTGAATTTTTCACTTTGGGCGTCTCAATGGTTTCATTGGAATAGCTAAGCTTTCATTGAGTTCCAATCAAGTACATCACTTCATTCTGCCTGAGGGTTAGCTCTTTTTGATTTTACGTTTTAGCTAACTAATGCTCCTTTTGAATTTGGATGGTGTTGGCTGGTGTCCATATTTCAAGCTGATGTTTAGTTCTTAGTTTTAATCTATATTCTTGCTTTTTTTCCCTTTGGGTACTCTGAAAATATGAAGGATTCTATGTCCGTGACATTGTTTGTACTTAGGAATACATAACCTATATTGCATTCACAAAATTGTGCTTTTTCAAGCTATATCTCCTTTTACGCGGTATCTACAATTAAACTTTTAAGCAAGGAGGAATGATAAATAGGTCTTGGAAGTATTAGTCGTTGATTTTTGTGATGTTTTTAACTTTTATCTTCTCTTTCTTTGGCCCTATCGGTCACTAGGAAAAGCTATAGTATGTTGCAAAATTTAAGTGCTTATTTAGTCTGTAGTAATACAAATCGCTTTACATCCTCTGCAGTTTTTGACTGCTGCTTCTCTACGGATGTGCTGAATGAAGATGAGTACAAAATCTACCTGGGAGGCATCGTAGCTCAGTTACAGGATCACTACCCTGATGCCTCTTTCATGGTATTCAATTTCAGAGAGGGAATTAAGAGGAGTCAGATATCAGACATATTGTCCCAGTATGACATGACAGTCATGGATTACCCTCGGCAATATGAGGGTTGTCCAGTGTTGCCTTTGGAGATGATCCACCATTTCTTGCGTTCTAGTGAGAGCTGGCTGTCACTGGAGGGACAACAGAATGTACTTTTGATGCATTGCGAACGGGGCGGATGGCCTGTGCTTGCTTTCATGCTTGCTGGTCTTCTTTTGTACAGAAAGCAGTATACTGGTGAGCAGAAGACCCTAGAAATGGTGTATAAGCAAGCACCCAGAGAACTTCTTCATCTCTTGTCTCCTCTAAATCCCCAGCCTTCACACCTTAGGTATCTGCAATATATTTCAAGGAGAAATATGGGTTCAGATTGGCCACCATCAGACTCTCCTTTAGCTCTGGATTGTATCATACTTAGAGTCCTACCGCTATTTGATGGTGGGAGGGGATGCCGCCCTCTAATTCGTGTGTATGGTCAGGATCCTTCATCCACTACTTCTAATAGGAGCTCTAAGCTTTTGTTCACAACTTTAAGAACGAAGAAGCATTCCCGCTTTTACAAACCGGTAATATGATTTCTTACTTTCTAGAACTAATATAGTAGAGACCTAACTGCTGTTTGAAGCATTTTTTACTTCCTGACGCAGGAAGAATGTGCCCTTGTGAAAATAGATATTCACCGACGTATTCAAGGGGATGTTGTGCTTGAATGTGTCCACTTAGACGATGATTTTGCAAGGGAGGAAATGATGTTCAGAATTATGTTTCACACTGCATTTATCCGGTCTAATGTTTTAATGCTCACTCGTGATGAAGTGGATGTTTTGTGGGATGCTAAAGATATGTTCCCCAGGGACTTCAGAGCAGAGGTAGGGTCTTGTTTTTCTTGTGATTTATTGCTTTTCGTCAACGATCTAGGAGTTGAAAGGATATTCATATCTGTATCAGGTACTCTTTTCCGATGCTGATGCTGTTCCATCTATTATCACCACAGACGTGGCGAGTGAAGATGAAACCGAGACAGAAAGTGCCTCTCCCGAGGAGTTTTTTGAGGTGGAAGAGATCTTCAGTAATGCAGTAGATGCACCAGATGGAAGGGGAGACATTGATAGTCATTCACTTCAAGAGTCGTCTAATCAGGATAGTGAAAGTGAAGAAGTGGAATGGAAAGAGGAGATGGATAATCACTCCTTTGAAGACTGTACATCTGACGAAGTAAGCCAGAGACAAGATTTGAGAGTTGATTCAAACGGGAATGGCGTGAATGCTAATGCCTCAGAGAATGATGAATCCCATAATACCAATACAAGGCCAGATGGTAGAGGAGCTCGTGGCAAGTTAGAAGGTGCCGACGACAAGCCCGATCAAGATGGCAGTTCTGTGCAGAAAAAGATGGATAGACAAGGGTCACAACCTAAGGTTGGTGCTGATGTAGGGAAACAAAAGTCTGATAAGTCAGTCACCTCGACATCACGGAAACAATCCAGCACAAAATCTGGGGCAGATCCCAGTGGTCCCAAGTCAAAAATGAGAATGGCAAAGCCTAATGCAGTTTCTAGATGGATTCCTAGTAACAAAGGTTCTTACTTTGATTCAATGCATGTTTCATATCCACCATCAAGACAGAACAGTGCTCCAGCTTCCTTAACCCAGTCAAAGGAATCTCAAGGGGGAAAATCTAAGGGGACATCTAATGCAAAGCCCTCAGCTCGTTGCAGTCCTGAAGTTGGGTTTTTACCTGAGAAACACTCTTCTTGTCCATCACTGATTGACAGTTCAACTGTCCAATTGGCGAATTCTCCGACCTCGACCTCTCCATCACATGGAGAAAGCCAACCTACAAATATCAATCAACCTCAACATCCTCCTACCTTTTGTCTCAATCCTCCACCACCCCCGGCAGTAACGACCTCTTCAAGTTCACCATTGTATGATTCATCCTCTGAGCCATTTTCTTCTATTAGATCTGTTACAGAGGATGGGGGCAGTAATTTGTCCTCTCACTCTGATTCAGTTTTACTTTCTACAAGTGATCATAGTGTAGAGGATGCTACTTCTGCAGAGCCCCTGTCACCTACACCTCCCGTGCCACCTTCATCCTCTGATAATGCCGTTTTGATTTCTGAACCACCTCCACCTCCTAAGCTGCCACCTCCCCCTCCGCCGCCTCCGCCGCCACCTGCCCCGCGATTTTCTTCAATATATGCTCAAGCTGCAGCAGGATTCGGGCAGAGTGTGCCCCCACCACCACCACCACCACCACCTCCTCCTCCTCCTATACTTGCATCAGCAGTCTCTGGAAGAACTCCCTCCGTAACTTCTCCGCCACCTCCTCTGCCCCCTCCACCGCCACCACCTTTTCAGCTTTCCTCTTCATCAAGCGTGCAAAATTCTGTTAACCTTCTGCTACCAACCCCTCCTCCTCCCCCATGGTCTGCTGTTTCTTCAGCACTGACATCTATTAGATCTGGTGGTGCTTTGTCATCCATTCCTCCTGCTCCTGCTCCTCCACCTTTGCCTTCTACCGGTACTGTGCCGCCCCCTCCTCCCCCTCCTCCACCATTACCTTCTTTCTGTGCTGTGCCGCCTCCTCCTCCCCCTCCCCCTCCAATGAATGGAGCACCTTCTGTGTTTTTAAGGGTGCCTACACCTCCCCCGCCACCTCCCCTTCCTTCAAGTGGTGCTCCTCCCCCTCCACCTCCTCCAACTCTTGCTCCATTTCCACCAGCTCCACCTCCCCCACCACCTCCACCTCGATCAAGTAGTGTTCCACCTCCTCCCCCTCCACCTCCTCGACCAGGTGGTGCTCCACCCCCTCCCCCACTGGCTCCTCCTCGATCAACTGTTGCTCCACCTCCTCCCCCTCCTCCCCCTCGATTAAGTGGTGCTCCACCTCCTCCTCCACCACCTCCTCGACCAAGTGGTGCTCCACCCCCTCCTCCGCTGCCTCCTCGATCAAACGGTGCTCCAGTGCCTCCCCCCCCACCACCTCTGCCAACTGGTGCTCCACCTCCGCCTCCGCTGCCACCTCGGCCAAATGGTGCTCCACCTCCACCACCACCGCCTATACGAGGAGGTCCTCCATTGCCACCTCCGTTACTAGGGGCCCCTGCTCCACCACATCCACCACCTCGAGGAGGTGCACCGCCTCCACCACCACCTCCAGGAGCTCGACCACCTGGACCTCCGCCACCCCCAGGGCCTCCAAGACCTCCAGGTGGTGCACCTCCTCCACCACCTTTTGGTGCCAAGTCCCCTGGACCTCCAGGTGGTGCTCCTCCTCCACCTTTGGGAAGAGGGCGAGGACTTGCACGTCCTTCTGGCTTTTCGGCAGCACCTAAGAGATCTACCTTAAAGCCACTTCATTGGAGTAAAGTTACCAGGGCATTACAAGGGAGCTTATGGGAAGAGTTGCAGAGGCACGGAGATCCTCAAAGGTATTTTCGTTGAGTTTTATTACTGTTAATATGAGAATATTTTTTCTTTATCATCTTTGAGAAATTTTAAATAGGAAGATTTTGCTCTTAGACTACCGTTCTCATTTCTGTTGAATGAGGACATGTCTTCTTGTTCCTTTGCATGCTTACCTTTTAATTGACTTGTTTGTATTAAAAGCATGTTATTTTCTGCAGTTTTGAGTGAATATCTGTATGTAGGGTTCATTGTATTTTCTATCTACATGCTAAATGTTTGGTATTTTTCTTTGTAGTGCACCCGAATTTGATGTTTCAGAAATTGAGACTCTATTCTCAGCTACAGTTGCAAAGCCAGATAGCAGGGGCAAGTCCGGTGACAGAAGGAAATCTGTTGGATCGAAACCTGAAAAAGTTCATTTGGTAATGGAATTTCTTATCTTTATAATCTAATACGTCGAATGAAGTATCAATAATGTTTAACTTGTTGAGCATGATTTATATTTTGCAATGTCGTTGAACTGGAGAGTCACTTGTATCAATCTTTCCTGCCGGTGGATTGTTTTAATGGTAATTTAACTTCTTCAATCATGCTATCTAGCTTCCCCTTTCTTAATTTTAAAATGGTGGCATTAATTACCCACTAATAAGGAATCGGAAAGAGTTAAGACGTGGTATAATAGACTTTCCGTATTTTTAATAAAATTTGGCGGGGTACTTGGGAACCAAGTGATTTCTAGCTTTTCTGACAGTGGTTATACTATCTGGGACAATTTTTCTTTTATTGTCTTGTTGTATGCTTTGTTCTTCCACTTGAATTAGGTCACTCGATTAGAGCCTCTTTTCTTTCTTTCTTTCTTCTTCTTCTTTTTTTTTTTTGTTGCTTTTTTTATATATATCTGTAAAAAATTTATTTTCAATCACATAACCACCTCAATTTTTGGTTCAAATATGTGCCTTGGCAGATTGACTTGAGGCGGGCCAACAACACTGAAATAATGCTAACAAAGGTGAAAATGCCACTTCCTGACATGATGGTGAGTTAGATAACAGTCATTACTGCTCCATTCTTATCATGGATTTATGTAAGTCCTATTAATGCAGATTGTGCTTAAAAATATGCTTCTGGAAAGAGTTGGAGTAGGCTGTTGTCATTTTATTCGCTGTGCTTTTGCAGCAGAGTTTAGATTACACCGATTTTGTTAAATGGTGCACCTCTTTTGTCTGTACGGGATTTCCGAACTATGTATCTAGAATGGAGAAAACTTCAGAAATAATTGGTTAATAGTGGGTATTTGTAGTGTGTTGAATGTGGATTTGACTTGGTGTCTTGTTCTTATTTTCATTTTTTTCTCAGGAGATACTTGTTTTAAACGTGATGTGTGTTGACTGAGCATGATGACGATATTTGATCCAGATATAGTAGCACTTAGTTCGATAATTGCTTGTTTTATGGTTCTCCTGGCCACCATGTCTAGATTCTGAAACATATGCTTGTGGAAAGATTGTAATCTCAGCTTATGTACTCATGTATTTAAAAGCTTGGCGAAATCAATGATTAACTTTCTCTCTCGCATCCCCAGGCTGCAGCGCTGGCAATGGATGAGTCTATTTTAGATGCTGACCAAGTAGAAAATCTAATCAAATTCTGTCCAACAAAAGAAGAGATGGAACTTCTTAAGGTGAATTTGGAATACCTTTCATTTTTCCCGATGCATGCTTCGTACTATGGTTGAGCTCGCTATTATGTCCAGATTTTAACTTTTTTTATGTAAAGGCTAACTTCTTCTTCGGGTTGGGGTTACATTTTTCTAATGTACTTATTCCTCTCTTTTGATGCTAGAATTATACTGGTGACAAGGAAAACCTTGGGAAATGTGAACAGGTACGAAGATATTTATGATAAACTCTTTGCTTTCGATGGTGTTGGTGATGTGCTTGTATGAATTTGTTCTATCTTGGTACTTCATTGTCAGCTTGGATGAGTGGATTATGATTTTGTATTATTTGCTGATTATTTGCTAACTTCCGATGACTGGCTTGAGAAATTATAAGGTCTTAAATTGGGATGGTGTCAAATTGCTTGAATTTTGAATTTGGGTTAATAGTTTGATAAGCGAATCATGAAATTTGAACCGAAGATTTAAAGTTATGATGCTTGAATCTCACATTTAAGACTGTTTGATTGACTGTTTTTCTCAATAAATGAAGCCTTTGTGGGTGAACTGATTAGATGACTACTTATAGAAACACGAGCAGTAGTTACTGGATTTAGTTGGCCTGCAAGGCAAGTCTACTTTTTGCCCCGTGTAGATGGAAAATATTATCATTGAGATGAACTACTCATAGTTAGTGTTTTTTTTTTCTTTTTTCTCTCTCCCTTTAAATGATCCTTAAATGAATTTCAGTATGCTATTTCACGATCTTCATGTTTCTATTCTTTTCCAATTCAATTTTATAAAGTTTAATAACAATATAATGTGATGACTATTTGGAAGAAAATCTCCTGAATTTGCGTACAATGCATTTTTTGTGAACCTAGTGGTCAGGATACATATATTCTTCCTATGTTGGTGCTTCTTTTGTGAAAGAAATTTTCTCTTTACAGAATTATTATTAATGTAGATTTTATGTTTTAAAAGACCTACAATAAGTCATGGAAGCTAATATGTGTTATCATTCGCGACCGAAAATAAAAATGTCGTACTCTAAAATATTAGATCTTGTAAATTTTGCATAAAATTTTGTTGTATTTTGATAAATGCTTATTTCCGTTAAACTACTTGATTGGGTTGGTGACTCGTGTGTAATCTTCCTAGAATTTGTGGACGAGCTACTTCCACTATTTTTGTTTCCTTTTGGGCTTAGAAATTTCCGTTCTGTTATCTTTACAAAAGTTTTTGGAGGTTTCTTCTGACTTTCTTATGTTCCCCAGTTCTTTCTGGAGTTGATGAAGGTCCCTCGGGTGGAATCCAAGCTACGGGTTTTTCTGTTTAAAATTCAGTTCAACTCTCAGGTATGCTTTATATTTAAACTTTTCTAGAACCAACTTTGTTGACTTGGTTTTCTGAAGTCTACTTCTACCTCAGGCCACTGATTTCAAGAAAAGTTTGAACATGGTAAACTCCGCATGTGATGAGGTACATTTCTGATTCTTTCAATGCTACCCTGTTCCTTTCTTTTTAAACTTTTTCCTTTCTTCTCCCATGTGTTTGATGTTGTTCTGGTTTATTAGGTTCGAAATTCCGTCAAGTTGAAGGAAATTATGAAGAAGATATTGTATTTGGGAAATACATTAAATCAAGGAACTGCTAGAGGTGAGAACCTGTTGAGAAACCTTTATTGATTTTCAGGTTTTGCTCCAAAAAGTTCAAAGTAGAAAACTCAGTTGCTCATTATGAACATCACATTTCAAATCTCAGTTTTTACGAATTTGAAATATGTGTTGGCTCTACAGGCTCTGCTGTTGGATTTAAGTTGGACAGTCTCTTAAAACTCACAGATACACGTGCTTCCAACAGCAAGATGACACTTATGCACTATCTTTGCAAGGTAATTACTTGTTCAGTTAGATACCTTTGCTGCCATTATTGCTGCATGCATGTATGAGATTTTGGTGAAGCAGACATTTCAAATCTTCAAATGGTTGAAATTTTGTGATATAATTTTTGAAATTATTACTCCAGTGTAATGTTTTGAATGATTAAACTTTTCGGCCAGATATATACATTAGCAGGTAACTAAACGCGAAGTTTGTAAGAAACGCTGTCAGTTATTCATATACTTACAAAGATGTTTTCTTTCCTTATATTATTGGCGGGCTTGCATGCTTTCCTCCCATCATCACTGTCTAGAAGCATGACCTGCAGTTCCTTGTTTTCTGTGTTTTTAGTTCATTCACTCATTGTGAAGTAGAAATACCTGCCTCCACTAGCGTAAAGGAAATTCATTATCACTTAGTGTAATTCTTCTCTATTATGACACATCTACAATCATGTTTGCGTCCACTAGCTTTAGGTATCCATATGTACGCTACTGCTTAATTATCAATGCATTAGGGAATTTTCAGAAAAAAAAAAACAATCATGTTTGCCCCTTACAATTTGTAGGGGATTTAGAGTGATTTCAAAAGAATTGATTACGAAGTGTAGGTATACATTTCATATGTCTAGACAGTGTTGACTGTTGACTGTTGAAGGGATTGTTATACCAAAATGTTTCGATAGTTTATCCTTGTGGGTCCACTTATTTGATTTTGATCAATCGCTAAAGGTTGTGTTAGTGGTCACAAAAAAATTAAGTGGGTAGAAATTCTCTTTTTATATGTGGACATTGAGTAACAACGGAAGGTTAACAAACAGAGCTGTTGAAGTGTTCTGTTTGCACCTTTGAGGAATAGAAGGTTACACATTATAGTTGGAAGTCGTTTACTTTGTTTGTCTTGGTAATATAGGAGATTAAGCAATATGGTTGAAGTCCGTCACTTTGTATGTCTTTCTCCATGAAAGAATGATCTCTTTTATTTGGGGTTTTCGTATTTCATTGCATTTTGAAATTTAAGGAGGTGCCTGGTTCAACCATGGATTCATAGTTTGGAATGGGATTCGTAGATTTTGAGTGGGATTCATAGAATAAAGATTATAATTGTATCAAAATTTTATTTTAGATGATTACTTTAAATGTAATTAAAAATTGGTATTAAGCCAAAGTTCCAATATTATCCTCAGCCGGCAGCCGCATCACCAAATTGCTGCCCTCTGTTTCCCCCATAACCACCCACCTTGATGCCCAACAGCCGCCTCTGTTCCCCCATAACCACCCACCACCTCAATCGCAAACTCTATCAAACAGAACCCTTTCCCTTGCAATAATATTTTGAATTGATTTCAATTGATTCAAGAAGTTATTCTCTTGAAAAATAAATATATTAAAAGAAGGATAATTGAAATTTGTTATGTTGATGGTGGCCGTGGCAATCAAGATAATCAAACCCTACCTTTCTTCCATTGCCGCCAGATCGCCCCACCCTTTCTTTTCCATTCCTCATAAAACATCCAAAAATAAAGCAAAAGAAAAAAATCCCATCCTATAAACTCATTATCATCAATCAATATCCCAGAAAGATAACAAAGCTACCATGGACCGAAAGGAAACATGATTCTATAAAGAGAAGTGGAAAGAAAAAATAGAATGGTTGCGTTGCAGAAGATTGTACGAGAGAGGATAGGAGGAGCAGGAGGGTAGTTGAAGGCAAAAAAGGGAAAATAGAAATTTGTTATTTCATTAGGCCAAAGCCAAGCCAAACCCACCAATTTGGTGTGGAATGAAAACTGGCCCAAAGAATGAAAGAAGTGGGCCCGTAAAACTGAACCAAGCACAATTATTAGGAATGAAATACCATGAAACCCATATAAAAGATATGAAACCTACATACCAAGCACCCCCTAAGTTCATTGAGGGGCTAAGATGAATTACTACCACCCCTAAAAATGTTTTTGGAAGGAATCAAAATCGCCTTGTCCAACTCTGTTGTATTAGCTCTGCTAGAGTGTTGTCTTGATGTTTCTGCCATTGAGGCATATACATTGTTGATTCAGTACAATTTGTTTCAACTTTGTACTAACTTCTTCTGGAATCACTTCTCTTGATAATTGAATGCTGGAAAAGTCTGAAATTGTTGTTGCATTTTCCGCCTCTAGCTTTTATTGATGTTATTCTTCTACCTTCCCATGCTATCCGTAGCAAGCCAAAGTGCTTTGACATGCTAGTAGTTTATTCGTTGAATATTTACTGCTTATTTCTCTTGATGCAATCCTTTTGCTAGTTTTCTTTGGTTACATTGTGGGCTCATTCTCATCTCCTCAGGTTCTTGCATCTAAAACGCCAGCCCTTCTAGATTTTCATGAAGACCTTCTTAGCCTGGAAGCTGCATCAAAGGTTGGTAATTCTTATTGATGTTAGTTTTAAGTGTCATTTGCTTAGCTAATATTCAATGTCCTTGGGCTCCCTGAATTCATTTTAGTTGCATTGTTCTTATGAGTGTAGCTGATATTTAGATAATCCACTGCTCTTGTAAATGGTGACTTTTCCAGTGCAATTAATGGGGATGGGAAAGCAGAGGATGATAAAAAGACTAGTTAACAATACATCTTGTATCTAGAATTAATTAAAGATATGCATTTGATGCTAAATGATCTAGTACACAATCCATTTATCCAACCTCACTGCGGGCTAAAGGATTTGTTGATGTTGGAAGATCCTAAACTATTTAGTTTCTTCATTTTTGGCATCTCACTGGAAATCCTGAAGTTTTTTGTTTTTTTAAATCACGAATTGCTTTTACTTTACGAGTCAAACAATTTATTAAAGTAACTTTGGTTACAATTGGGTTATACGAATTTAAGGCTGACTTTTTGAGACTTGGGATTATTTTTCCATTGGGTAACTAATTGGATTGAGCCTTTCCGCAGATTCAATTAAAATCTCTTGCAGAAGAAATGCAAGCTATTATTAAGGGACTGGAGAAGGTGAAGCAGGAATTGGATGCATCTGAGAATGACGGTCCAGTATCTGAAACTTTTCGGAAGGTATGCTCTTATATTGTTATTATTTTTCATTTGAAGATATACCGTGTTGGCCTTATGATGTGGTTGCAATGTTTATGAAATTGCTCGATTTCCAACTTACCAGTTTTATGATAGCATTATATTTGGTTAGGATAAAGGTAAGGTTCCTATTCAGGCTCCCAGTAAGAATAAAAGAATGATTCCTAATTTGAAGCCAATTTATTTTAAGTTATAGTACTGATAATTAGTGTCATCAATAATCTCTAAAATGACTACCCATGGTATTTTTCCCTTACTATTTTTTTTACGTTAACTTTATCTTCCACTTCTTCACATAGACATTGAAAGACTTTGTTGGTGCTGCTGAGACGGAAGTTGGCTCTGTATCAACTTTGTACTCCGTTGCGGTAAATTTCTCATGTTTGCTTTGCTTTATTCTATGTTGAATGGGGCTTTCTTGTACGATTGACCTCACTTTAATTTCTGGATCAGGGAAGAAATGCAGATGCATTAGCACTTTATTTTGGAGAGGACCCTGCCCGCTGCCCATTTGAGCAAGGTAGTGATCTTCATTTTAATTAATTTCTTTCATCGCGCCTTCATTTTGATGTAATTACCTTGTTTCCTAGACTAGCTCCAATTGAGGGGATGATGGTAAATGCAACCCACTTTTCATTGGCAACTAATAAGTGAGAACAGATACATGGCAGGAGAGCATTTAAAAGAAAAGCTCTCACACTTCTTTTTAATTTTCAAAAAGCCTCAATTCGATGAGCAGATAAGGAATAAATGCTATTGGACAGTAGAAAAGTGCAGTGACCATGAAAACTTGTGTTGGATCCCTTGTGAGCTTTGCGTTGGATCCCTTACTATGCAAGATTTTTGTTTCATAATGTGCCCAAAAATTTACTGATAGAAATGATAATGTTATAATAAATATGCTGGAACTCTAGCTAGACTAGAAGAATCAGTCATGAAAGCATTAGAAAGAATCATTAACTCAAATTGTAGAAATTAGCTAAAGCATTAGAAAGGATCATTTGCGAGTTATGATAGAGAAAGATTTGAGAAAAACACGCTTAAGGTGGTTTGTCATTTACTACTGTAAGATGCCTATTAAGGCTTGTAGAAGTTAGAGAATCATCAACTCAAATTGCAGAGAAAGGGAACACTAAAAGAATAAACCTAAATGAGGATGTTCTTAAAGAACAAGATGGTGGGTGTTCTGATCCATTTTGCTTCTTGGAATAAATGCTTAGCTTTTCTTCACGGGGCCTTCAAATATAGTAGACTTTGCTTTTACAACTTTTACTTGGTAACTTGGATGGCTTTAAGCTTCAGTGCAAGAAACCCCTTTTTATTTCCTAGTCGTGGACTTCTGGTTTTCTTGCTTCTGCCGCTGTATCTGGAGGATTAACCTTCAGGTCATAGGATTGAACCTGTGAGTTGCGCTTTAAACACACACATGCACCCGTTATGTGTATGTTTTTTCCTCCTGATGTGATTTGTATTAATGTCAGCTGTTTATCTGTTGACCATTTTTAAGTACTCAAATGTGTGGGAGTTATCATCCTGAGTTTTTGATGGGAATTAAAATGTTTGCAGTTACTGCTACGCTTTTGAATTTTGTGCGGTTGTTTCGAAAGGCGCATGAGGAGAACTGCAAACAAGCAGAGTTAGAAAAGAAGAAAGCTCAGAAAGAGGCTGAGATGGAGAAGGCAAAGGGAATAAATTTAACAAAGAAGGATGTGAAATAGGCGGTAATTGCTTATTTATCTGACTGCAAACATGGACGGCTATCCAATGGTTCTCTTCAACGTGATTGTTGGAGAAGGAACACTGCTCCTGAGATGGGACCAGAAGCCTCTCATACTCGAGGCCTCTTGAATCTGAAGGAAACAGAGGACAAGAGAGTATGGTGGGGTTCTGAGTTCACCTGGCGGGTAACACGGGACATGACATCGTCCCTGCACTCAGCTGGTCGAGGGCAAATGTTAGCATTGAATCTATTGGCTAGCTGGTTTCGCAAGCTTCCAGGACTTCTGCCCTGGGTTTGAGCTGTAAAGCTTTGAGGCTTTAGTGGAGGAAACAACATGTGATTTGCTGCTACAATCAGAGAGGTTTGGAAAAGCAAATATGACAGCTGATGAGGGTTGGCTCAATTTCAGCAAGGTGTTGCTGGTTGCACTCAATATGTCGACGATGACATGTGCAGGTAAAGCCGGAAAACCAGAATGTACCATGAATCTGTATAAAGCTCTATACTAACCCTGTATTTAGATGCGTAGATGATTCTTTTGAATGTAATATAGAAGTTGGTCCCCAATCTTAGTAGTCAGGTGTGAAGGGGAACTTACCACGATTTGTTGTATAGAGGTAATCACACTTAGAGGAGGAAATAGATGATAGTTTGTTATAGGTCATAGCATTGTATTGAGGATATAGGCATAGGTTTAGGAACTACTCTGGGATGATTCCATTTCTATTTTTGTAGTTACAGTATGGAAAGTACATGGTTTATAACAAAGAGAGAGTGAGCCTCCTAGCAGGGAAGCTCAAGGAGAATTATCCAACCTGCTTATTCTTGTACCAACTGTTAATCTTAACAAATTTTGAATAATACATTCCCATGATTTGCTTTAAGTTTGGCATGCTCTTGGGCAGAAACAAGCTTGTGTTTTTTGAATTCTACGTGCAAAACTATCGATCACCAAGGGAAAATTAAATCAAATGTAGGCACATAATCTAATTATATGGTGATATTTATTACTAATCATTTTTCCTTTAAATGTAAGATCATGAGCTATAGAACTACTCTTGAAAGAAATTAAGAATCGGTTGTTATTACATGCTTCTGTCTATTCCCTTAAGATTGATGTAGCGGGGTATATAATATTTATATATACTGAAGAAATAGTTATTAGTTCTTAAAAGTTTTGCAAACACGAAAAGAACACCTTGAATCTAGTGTTGATGTTTGCACCAACAAATAAAATAAAATAAAAGGAAAAAAAAATACTAATATACTAAACAAATAAATAAACAAAAGTGAAACAAGAGTATTTCGTTTTTTTTTTTTGGGAAAACAACAAGAGTTCTATTGGAGTTAGAAGCAGCCGGTGGAGCACATGCAAATGGCTCGAGTTTTGATTTCAGATATCGTAACAGTGCCAAGGCAAAGAATCTTTTGCAGTTTCAAGAGACTTGTTGACTTTTTTAAAGATAATTATGTTTGATAACCCAAATAAGTACTGAAATTGAATGGATTCAGTACTTTTTCAATTTTTATTGTTTGATAATAAAAATTTTAGAATCTGATTTAATTAAGTGGCACTTATTCCCATGTTCAACTCCTTCCCTAAAATTAAAAGTGATTTGATTATTACTCATCACTTTTCTCTAAACACGCTCAGGTGCTAAAATTTTTAGTAGATTTTTTTTTTATGACTGTATACCTAATTATCACGTTTTTTTTTTTGGCCTCTCTCTCCATCTCCTTGTCAGATTTTTCTGCTCACCACCAAAGATCCCTCATATCAAATCCTTAACTATATATTTATGGAGAAAATTAGGATTTATAATTGCCTACCAAATCCTTAACAATCTCCAAAAGAAGATGATTCTCCCATTATAATGGTCCCATAATAATCTTTTTATAAATTAGGTCACCAGCTACTCGTGTTTAGAAATTTGGAAAAAAAATTTTTGAAAAAAACGAAAGAAACTCTTTAGCAAAAGGTATCTGTTCTTTGTTTGTTTATGTAGTTTGTTAATATATTCTGTATATTCTGCAACTTAGAACTCATTGCGAGTGAGACCCAGGGAGGAACATTGTTTCACATCTATAACTTGGAGTTGAGAAAAATCATTGAGTCGTGGAAACAAACCAGAAGCTTCTAACTCTTATCTAGAACTGTTAAATGAATGAAAAGAAAGAGATTACCTCATGTTCCCTTGTCCCACATGAATGGATGAAAACTCTTAAACTCAACATATATACCCCATGTGTTACTCCCCTCATTGCCAATTGGTTTTGAGGTGGAACCACATGTGGGCCTATATTTGAGCCTTCAAGATGGTATCAGAGCGGGTTTTAATCCGCGGAACTGTGGGACTTGTGGGGCGAGGTGGACTGACCCAGATTGGGTCTTGAAACTTTGGTCAACCCAAGAAAAAATTCGGGGTTTGACTTTGAACTTTGACTGACCCGGCAGGCGAGTTTGACTTTGAACTTTGACTGGCCCGGCAGGCGACGGTTTATCCGGAAAAATAACCGATCGCAAGACTGAAAAAAAAATCAGAAAAAAATATAAAATTGCTCGTCCAAGCCCATTGGGCTTGAGAGGGGTGTGTTAAATGAATGAAAAGAAAGAGATTACCTCATGTTCCCTTGTCCCACATGAATGGATGGAGACTCTTGAACTCAACATATATACCCCATGTGCTACTCCCCTTATTGCCAATTGGTTTTGAGGTGTAATCACCTGTGGTCCTATATTTGGGCCTTCAAGAAGAACTTCTGATTTATACTTGCCCAATTGGTAATATGATCATTCCCCTTTATTTTTTCAATTTATGAAAGACAACATTTTATTTCAAGTCCATATATCTTTGGTTTTGGTCTAATACGTGTTTTTTTTTTTTTTTGGCAATCTAAATAGAGTAAGCTAGTGTTTTTTTTTTCATGTCGTTGGAGCATAAAAATTCTATTGTGACTTGAGCTCTTTGACTCTGGTTTCTCTACCCCTTTTATATTTTTAATCTTCTCATTCGTTTGTTTCTTTCCTTTGCAAAACCTGAGTGCCTGTACTAGTTTTTATTATACCAAAATGAGAATTACCATCATTCTGAGACTCTCATGCTATGGCAGAATATAAGTCCAAAACTCCATTATTATCATTAAAGTGGTAAGTGTTTTGTACTGGAAATGAGTAGAAAATTGATTAAAAACAATGATGCCGTAAGCATGCAATGGTATTAATTAAAAGGGGGTGGTATTTTGGTGTTAACCTAATACAAAAGCAACTAAAAAATGAATGGGACTTTCTGAAGAGGAAAACTCAAGTATAGAATAAACTTATAGGAATTATAGGGAACACTCATTACGATAACAAACACTATAAATTGGAGTCCAGAGCAATGGGATACGTACATACAGGTAATTTATATTATACAAATCAATGTAGTTCACTACAAATATAAGTTATTTAAATTATTTTACCTTATTATGCTGAGAAATTCAGAAGCAAAAGAATTTCGATACAGTCCTTTGCCCTATGATGAAATGATTGCTTTATTTCATGGCATGGGAGCTCCAGGAAAAGATGGTTGGGGTCCTTCCAAGGAAGGGTTGCCAGCTGATGGTTACAAGCCACCAATAATTGATATTGAAAATAATCAAGAAGACAAACCATCTAGTTCATTTCAACCAAAAGAAAAAGGGAAACAAAAAAAGCCAAACGCCAAATGGAAAACAACTCTGGAAAGTTGAATGATATGGATGATCGTATAACAACGGTTTTCAAAACTTTGGAGGAATCAGATAGACCAAGTATGGACGAGTGCAATAAGATTTTAGATGAAATGGAATCAGTAGAAGGGACAGACTCAGTATACATAACTGCCGCTTCCATTTTTTGTGAGGGCAAGGCCTATAGAGAACAATGGATTCGTTTAAGTACAAAATCTGAAGAAATTCGTAAAAATTGGATAACGATGAATGAGAAAAAGTTAGGCTTACTTTAGATTGTAGAAATTCATGGTACTTTGCCATTGATTTTATTTTTTTGGTGGAGTTTTTAATTTTTTTTTCCCTCCTTTTGCCATTATTTCTTTTCACAATGAATAAGTTGTAATTTGAGATTTAATGATTATTCATAATTGAGTTTTAATATTTTTTCCAGTTGCTTAAATTGATTCATTGATGTGTTACTTGAATAGATGTTATCCGAAAAGAAAAAGAAGATTCTAAAGATCTTAGCAATAATATTGATTCTAAAAAAGTTAAGGATTAGACGCATTGGACGTCGGCCTGATACAAATTCAGAATTAACTGGCAGTGCATATGTTGATGAACTTATTGGTGGAAATCCAAACCATACTTTAGATATGCTACGAATGGAATTGCATGCTTTTATGCATCTTTGTGGTTACTTTCGGAGTAGACAGTAGATAAAAGATAGTAGATACATCTCAGTTGAAGAAAAGATCGCAATGTTTCTAACAGATACGTGTTTGCACCATACAAACCGTGCAGTGAAGCGAAGATATCAACATTCAACTCAAACATTTCACAAGTAATTTTATGAAGTGCTTGAAGCTATGCTTACATTTTCAAAGGAAATGATTGTCCCCAATTTGATCCGAGTGTGTTCGACAGTGAATGCCTACGCTGAACTCGTGACACCTTTTTTCTGGTGATTTTCTAATGTTATTTTTTTATTTTTTTTAATTGACCAATGGTAATAATCTATTTAATATATAGTGCACTAAAATATTTCCTCTTTTTTTTTATGGGTGCCATTGGAGTTTTAGATGGCATGCTTGTAAATGCAGTAATACCACGAGACCAACAGACTCCATATCGAGGGAGAGGCAAGGGTGATTGCTTTCAAAATGTTCTTGCAATATGTGATTTTAATAGAGTTTACACATTTCTGTGGACTGGTTGGAAAGGGAAGCACATGACTCTAGAGTACTTACGGAAACTACGTGAGATCCGACGAGTAATTTTCCATTCCCCCCGGCAGGTAGATGTTAATTATGATCATGTATATTTTTAAGAAAAATTCTATTATTTTTTAAGGATGTTTGAAATTCAATATTTTTTTTATTGTAGGAAAATATTACCTTTGTGATGCAGCTTATCCTCTTACTCGTGAATTTTTGACACCTTACCGCAATGTGCGATATTGGTTGTCAGACTTTCAATTTGGTGGGCTTGTGAGATCAAAGAAAGAAAAGTTTAATCAAGCATATAGTTGAGTAAGAAATGTAGTTGAACGAAGTTTTGGCATGCTAAAAAACGTTTTTCGATCTTAAAGATTAGGTCACCATATCCATTTCCAACGCAAAGAAATATTTTCATTGTGTGCGGGGCTATCCACAACTATCTCCGCAAAATTGGCGCCACGGATATTTGGTTTGAAGAATTCGAAAATGAAGATACGATTTTGGGCAATAATCAAGAATCAGAATTATCTCAAGTTGATGTGGTAACTGGATCTTTCACAGAGGGGAATAAACAAGCTGATAGAGAATTTATGATTAATTTGCGTGAAACACTTAAAAATTAATTTTAAAAGAAAAAATTTAGATTTACATTTTAATTTAACTTTGGGATATTTTATTATAACTAGATGGGGGTGAACCGCACTAGGTGCGGTGGTGGGTGTAAGGGAACCCAGAATATTAATCTTTGATATCAAATTTAAGGAAAGAAAAAAGAATCTGGATAATGCGGTTCTCCATCCATTTTAATCACATGATGCGATTCTCCAATTTTTGATATGAAATTACTAAATAGCAAGGAATGAGTGAAATTTTGTTTTATTAGACTTTATATAATTTATTGGAGTAATTATACAGAAAGTTTTTAATATATAAGAAAAAAAAACATCAATGAACATAAAATTTTGTTTTATTAGATTTTATA